ACCCAACGGGCAAGAAAGGACAAGTTCAGGCAGAAAGAATACAGGCCCCTAAATGTGCAGAGAAACACTTGACCTGTTGGAAGATGATGGACCTCTTAAGAGTGGAGGATGATGGCTTTGTGTCTGGATTGCAGGTCCTTCCACTCTGCAGGCCAAGATGTTTTGTCAACGTGAAGCAGAACGATGCACTGGTGCGTCCTGGCAGTTTGTCATTAGTGGAGAGGAATCCCTCCTCTTCGATGCGATGAACATGACCTGGACAGTAATTAATCATGAAGCCAGCAAGATCAAGGAGACACAGAAGAAAGACAGAGGGCTGGAAAAGTATTTCAGGAAGCTCTCAATGGGAGACTGCAATCACTGGCTTGGGAAATTCGCAGAGCACTGGGAGGCAATGCCAGAGCCGACAGGTAACTGAGCTAAGTGGAAGAATGCGGCAGCTCTCTTTAAAGGTCAAAAGTCTTCCCTGTGTGGGCATCAGCATGTGTGTTGTGGGTAACACCCTCTACGGGTACTGAGGAAGGAGAACTGCTCAGATCCTAGGCATAATTAGTGCCTGAAGTACACCTCACTGCTTACTTATATCTAGCCTATATATATATATATAAAATAATTCCACATTATCTTTCTAAATAATCATATAACGGATGTAGTCGGAGCTGTACCAACACATTTAGTGCTGATTTATATAATCCTTCCATATAACCATAGAGTAGTTTGTAGTAGGAGGAATGCCTAGAGCAGTCACAGAACTGAAGCAGTACATGGGAAAACAGCCAGACCAGGACAAGAACCAATGACCCAGGTGGTGCGTCCCTGCCTGAAAGGGCGTACGCTGTATGGCAGGCTTGGAGCAAGAGCCTTTCCTCCTGATAAAGGAGTTGTAGTACCTTGCATCCAGTTCCTGTGGAAAGTAGGCCTCAGGCCTGACATCCCACAAATAACCGAAGGGAAGAAGCCTTCTGGTGTGACCAGTCACGGAGGCTGTACACCCTGTCAGTCTTTTCTCGCTTCTTTACTAGCTCAAATCATCCTCTCATAAATATCCTAAGAGAAGAGCACAAATCTGTCAGCTCCCACTGCATTGGCTTACAGTACCCTTCTATTAGAAACCCTTTGAAGTCATCAGCCCCCAGATAAGAAGTGTTGCGTACGACACCTGTTGCACACAGCCTACCTCCTTGCTTCTGTGACCTAATGGGGGTGGACCCCTTTTCTGTACACAACCCTCTATTACTGTCACGGCACGGCCCCCTACTGCGCATGACCCACCTCTCTGCCCAGGTGATGTAATGGGATGTCCCCTTTGCTTGTGACTCACGTGATTATGTATGCCCTACCACTAAGCCTATAGATGACGACCTCACTCACAACCCTGCCCCCTGCTTGTACCTAATAAATACAGAATCTTCTGGGCACTCAGGGCCTCCCTGGTCTCTACTCATAGGTCGCGTGGCCCGCTGAGTCCAGTTGCTCTTCACCAGTTCTTCAGTGTCCTGTCTCTTTACTTCTTGGATCCTGTACTTCAGCACAGCATAAGGGACACCCCATGACACTGTGGGGGCAACAGCCCTACAGTGTGTGCAACGGAAAATCTGATTGATTTCTCCATGGGCTTCCTGTTTGGAGAGGCAGTGATGGCTGTAAGGATTTACCACCATCCTCCCTGTCCCATCCCACCTCCCACTGTTTCTTCCTCAGTGTAGAAACCCCTTCCCACTAACCAATGATCCAGTCACCAATGACCCAATGCTAAATGGTCCCAGGTCTATCTGAGTCACTGCAAACATCCAGGCCTTCTCTTCCTCTATTATAATTACCCTTCTACCAGCTCTAATGCCATTTCTTAGAAGCCTTCCCCACCTTCCTCACATAGAATTAAGTACCACCCATTGTGCTTAATCATTCTCCAAGCAGTTCTAACCACAGTAATCATGTGAAATTGTGTAGTAATCAGATGGACATTTGCTACCTCTCTCGGTGGAAATCTGAGCTCAGTAAGGACACAGCACAAGCCCTATTCATCTTCATGGCCCAGGGCCTGGTAGAGTGGCTGTCACATGATCCAGTAATTATGTGGGGCACCATGTGTTCCTGGGGAAGCAGGGGCTGAGGAAAGCGTATTTTTAGGTTTGACAGGTCTTGTGCTTTTTTGCTCTTTTAGTGTCACCGGTAAATGCTTCAAATATCCCCTGGTCTTCCTCTAGCCAACAAACTCTAACGATGATCCTGGGGGTATTAATCTTGTTAGTCATCATGGAAATTTACATCTACAGATGAGTGGAAGGCTGCTGTCTGGCCTTTGAGGACATCTTAGTCTGGTAAGGACTCAGGAGAGGTAAGCCATGGGTCTCACTCAAGACCCCGCTCCCTGATCTCTCTCCATAGAAATGGCACCCTGTCTCAGTCTTGAGCCCCCACACTACACAGCAGGGCTGGCAGCATAAAAGTGCAATGAGAGGAGGGATGAAGCAAGCATCTCCTCCTGAGGAGTGGCAAGGTCTAAGATCTGGAATGCCTGCCTGGGGTGTTGTTTCCTCACCATCCTGCCCAGGGTTCCCCCAGCCCTTTGATGGAAATATTGTTTGCTGTCTGCGTTTAGCCTGATTTAGCTCAGCAAACCTCCATCCCCTTTTCCCATTTGTGCTGTGAAGACTCACTGGTGGCGCTTGTGGCTGCAGCATTTACTCCCAGAGAATGTACAAGCTGTGATGTATGCAATCCTCTCACCACCCTCCAAACATTAAAATGGGTTAAAGAAGGACAAGAAGGACAATCTCAAGCATATGATTAGCCATGTACATTCCAGACTCACATTGATTGAAAGAATGCTAGAAAAGCATCATCACCAGGGCAGCAACGTCTTCAAGGTTCCCTGTGCTCTGATGACGTCACACCTTTCGGGCAAGAAGTTTTTAGAATTTATTTTCACATTGAAAATCAGTCAGATTTGCTTCATCCTCAAAGAGCATGTTCACTTAAAATTAAATGAATGCTGGTGGTGAGCTGTACTTTTTTTTCTAAATGGGAATTAATGTCATAGTGTCTGTTCCTGATCTCCTGTTTCTTCTCTGCGTGGTGAGAAGGTGACAATGTCACACTAACTTTTGATGGTGAAACCTGAGCTTTGATGACATTCTGGCTGCCAGTCTAATCTATTATCTCCTGCACGGAGGCGTGTTTTCCAAGATTCACATGCCTCCCTTACATGAGTGCCTTCCTTTTTATATGGTGTCAATTTAGTCATTTTGAAAAATTTGCAAAAGTAAGATATTTGGTCATAATTAATTAGGACTGCCATATCACTCTGACACTCTCTCCATCACACTTTCCTCCATGTCAGTTGGAATTGGAGTGACTGCTGGCTTTTAAAAAATTCAACTAAGAGGCCAGGTGCAGGTGGCTCACGCCTATAATCCCAGCACTTTGGGAGGCTGAGGATGGTGGATCATGAGCTCAGAAGTTTGAGATCAGCCTGGCCAATATGGTGAAACCCTGTTTCTACAAAAAATATAAAAATTAGCTGGGCATGGTAGCAGGTGCCTGTAATCCCACCTACTCATGAGGCTGAGGCAGGATAATCGCTTGAACCCAGGAGGCAGAGGTTGCAGTGAGCCGAGACTGTGCCACTGCACTCCAGCCTGGGTGACAGAGTGAGACTCCATCTCATAAAAAAAAAAAATTCATTTAAGAGGAAGGTGAGTTACAAATATATTGATTTGGGTTTAGGAGGTATATTTATGTCCTCACACTCATTTTTTTGTACAGTTAAGTTATTGCTATGCAGAAACCACAGGTCAGCTGTCCTAAGTCATGACATGTCATGACACAAAGGTACAGGGCCACAGGTTGGATGACCCATGAATTAACACATCTATTCACATATCAACATGTCCTAGAAAAGAGAAAGTGAATATAATCACAAACAGAACACTCTATAGAAATAGAGGAAGAAAAAGCTTACCACTACATGAAAAATGGATGACCGTCATGGACAGGATGTTGAGAGGAAAATGTCAGACACAAAGAACATAATCTCTATGATTCAATTTATATGAATTTCAAAAACAGACAAACTGGATCTTTAATAATAGAAGTCAGGGTAATAATAACCTATAACTTAATCTGACAGATGATCATGCAGATAGATTTCATTTTTGAAAATACATCGAATGGACTATTTAAGATTTTGCACTTTATAGTAAGGTTGTTACATTTCAACAACAACAACAAGAAACTAAGTAGAGGTTTCAATTCCCATTATTTTCTTGACAACTGGTGGCACTCCCCATCAGGAACATATTCAGTAATAAATTAAATTATAAATATATTATATATTTTTTTCTGATGAGAATCTGATACACATGCACGCACATAGAGAACACTATTTTTTTTTAAGATGGAGCCTTGCTCTGTTGCCCAGGCTGGAGTGCAGTGGCACGATCTCAGCTAACTGCAACCTCTGCCTCCTGGGTTCAAGCAATTCTCCTGCCTCAGCCTCCTGAGTAGCTGGGACTACAGGTGCCCACCATCATGCCCAGCTAATTTTTGTATTTTTAGTAGTGATGGGGTTTCACCATGTTGACCAGGATGGTCTGAATCTCTTGACCTTGTGATTTGCCTGCCTTTGCCTCCCAAAGTGCTGGAATACAGGCATGAGCCACCACGCCCAGCCTGAGAGAACTATTATGTGACAGACACATTGCCAGATACCTGCTTGTTGGTCCTGTTTCTCTGCCACTGCTCTGACAAAAGAATTCATTCCTTTCTTCCACTGCTGTCTTTGCCCTCATAGTGTCCTCTCCAGATTGACCCAGGCAGACCTCAACATTTTCAAGTATAGCAATTTAAGTAGAGCTCTAGGGTTCAAGTCACAGTTCCTGGGGCTCTCTGTGGAGTTCAAGGTTAAGATTCCCCCTCATGAGAAAAATCGTCTACTCCATCTACAACTTACTGAGGATCCATGTTTCTTATGTAAGAAAAGACTCTACCCTTTTAGTTGCTTAAAGGAACACCATGACTCAGATCTGTGTCTGTTTCACAGGGGCCCTGACATGAAAAGAAAGTTTGCTAAGAACAGTGTCACAACAGGCTTGGCAAGATATGGCTTGAGTCAAACAAGGGCCACTGGTCCAGAAGGGGCTCATGTGGGGGGTGGTGTGATGGCAGCAGGAACCCAGGGAGTGAATATGCTCAGATGGGAAGGGATCCCACCTGCAGAGCTGCAGGCAAAGGGGTCCTGCCTTAACCTCTGGTGGAAGGTGACTGAGAAGGATTTAACTGCCCCAACCAAGCAGGCTGGGACTTCAGTGCCATTGACAGTAGCAAAGGGAGTTGGTGAGTAGGAAGGGAGGCAGAAGAACAGTTTTAGAAGCTGGGTCTGGACAGTAGGGGTTTAAAGGAGGTGGGACCTCCATGGACACCTGGGGGTTTCTGACTCCCAGCCTCATCCTGGTGGCTGAGCCTGCTGCTGAAGGGCTTCCTGTCTGGGCAGGAGCAGGCAGGGCTCAAGTGCCGATGGAGGTTGGTGCCCACAGCTGAGCTGAACAGAAATGGGAGGCAGGTGGGAGGCAAGGCGGGCCCTGGGAATGGTGTGTTAGAATTCAAGGGGAAAAAAATGTATCTTTCATCCTCTGGGGAGAGCCTTCCCATTGTGTCACATAGATTTGTCTGTCACAGGGAGAATCAGCACCCAGGGAAGAAGAGTTCTGTGTGCCCATGACATGTTCCTGTTTTGTTGTCTCTGGAATTTCTTGGCATTGTTTCTGCTGATGTGACAGAAAAGAGAAAAAGCTGATCAAAGCTAAATGATAGAGCAAAGGGGTTGACAGGGAGTGTCTTTTCAGGTAAATAGAGGACATTCACCAAGAAGGGCCATTTTTGGATCATAAAATAAATCTCAGTCAGGCATAATGGCTCACACCTGTAATCCCAGCACTGTGGGAGGCCGAGATGGGCAGATCATTTGAGGTCAGGAGTTCAATACCAGCTTGGCCAACATGACGAAATCCCATCTCTACTAAAAATACAAAAATTAACCAGGCATGATGGCATGTGCCTGTAGTCCCAGCTACTCAGGAGGCTGAGGCAGAAGAATCGCTTGAACCCAGGAGGTGGAGGTTGCAGTGAGCCAAGATTGAACCATTGCACTCCAGTCTGAATGACAGAGTGAGACTCCCTTTCAAATAAATAAATAAACAAATAAATAATCTATTTCAACAAATATAAAGGGTTGAAATCATGCAAAGCATCTTGTCTGACTGCAATGGAAATAAAGTAGAAATCAACATCAGGAAGATATCTGGAAAAATCCTCAAATGTTTGGATATCTAAATAACTATATATCAAAGAAAAAGTACAAAGAAAACTAGAAAGTATTTTGAAGTGAATGAAAATGAAAATATAAAATATTAAAATCTATCATACACAGATAAGAGAGCATTTAGAGGCACCCACACTGAACTTCCGCCTCTCAAAGTGCTGGGATTATAGGCATTAGCCACTGCACCTGGCTATTTTTTCTTTTTTTTTTTTGACCTCTGAACTTTTTATTGGCTTCCTGCTCCCCAAAGGGTCCCCTGCTTCTGCTGGCGTAATGTCTCAGAACTTTGGTGTCATTGGTCTCAGACACCACTTTGCCATCCACTGTCCGGTGGGTGGTGGTCTTTTGGATGGTTTGCATGGAGTTGCTGCTGTCCAGGGTATCACTAAGACTGAAGTCCTCACCATCTTCCAGCAGGCGGCCGTAGGTGGCGATCTCAGTCTCCAGCTTGACCTTGATGTTCAGCAGAGCCTCGTACTCCTGGGCCTGGCGCTGTCCCTCTGCCAGGGTCTGTGCCAGTTCTGACTCCAGGTGCAGAAGGATCCCATTGAGCTGCTCCATGTGCAGGGTGTAGTGGGCCTCCACCTCCCTCAGGCTGTTCTCTAAGCTGATCTTCGTATTTCTCATGGAGTCCAGGTCGATCTCCAAGGACTGGACTGTACGTCTCAGCTCTGTGAGCGTCATCTCAGCAGCTTCAACCTCAGTGGACCGTGTGGTGACCACTGTGGTGCTCTCCTCAATCAGCTGAGTCCAGTAGTTGTCCAGCTCCTCTCGGTCTTCTGAGCCAGCTCATCATATTGAGCCCAGATTTCTGCCATGATCTTGGCGAGGTCCTGAGATTTGGGGGCATCTACCTCCACGGTCAACTCGTAGCTGGCAATCTGGGCTTGTAGGCCGTTTACTTCCTCTTCATCGTTCTTCTTCATGAAGAGCAGCTCCTCCTTGGGAGCCTTGATCTCTGTCTCCAGCTGCAGCCGAGTGACATTGGTGTCATCGATGACCTTGCAGAGCCCATGGATGTCGATCTCCACAGACTGGCGAATGGCCAGCTCTGTCTCATACTTGACTCTAAAGTCATCAGCAGCAAGACGGGCATTGTCAATCTGCAGAACGATGTGGGCATTGTCCACAGTATTTGCGAAGATCTGAGCCCTCAGGTCCTCGATGGTCTTGAAGTAATGGCCCCAGTCTCTGACCTGGGGTCCCTTCTTCTCCAGGTGCTCCCGGATTTTGCTCTCCAGCTTCCGGTTCTCGGTCTCCAGGCTCCTGACTCTGTCCAGGTAGGAGGCCAGGTGGTCGTTCAGGATTTGCATGGTCTCCTTCTCGTTCTGGATGCCTCCGATTCCTGCCAGAACCCCGGCCATCCCCGCAGCCAGGCCCCCGACCCCCATACTGCTCTGGAAGCTGGCAGAGCGCATCACGGAGATGCGGGAACCAGAGCCTCCGGCTCCTGCATAGACGCTGGCCGTGCTGCTGACCGGCCGGGTGCCGTAGCTGGGCACCCGGACGGAGCCCACGGACCGGCAGTTGGTGGAAAGGTGGAGCGAGTGGTGAAGCTCATGCTGCACCGGGAGGAGAGCGAGAGGGCAGGACTCAGGCTTTGCTGATGACCTATTTTCTATTTTTCATATTTTTAGTAGAGACAGGGTTTTGACATATTGGCCAGGTGGGTCTTGAACTCCTGGCCTCAAATGATCCACCCACTCGACCTCCCAAAGTGCTGGGAATACAGCATGAGCCACCGAGCCCAGCCACAAGTAGTTCTTTTCTGATAAACACTTTAAAACTGAATGAAAAAAAAAGTGTGTGTTACTAGTTTTTTTGCTTTTGTTTTTACTTTAAAACAGATACACCAATGGCAACAAAAGCCAAAATGGACAAATGGGATCTAATTACACTCCAGAGCTTCTGTACAGCAAGGGAAACAATCATTAGAGTGAACCGGCAACCAACAGAATGGGAAAAAATTTTTGCAATCCACCCATCTGAGAAAGGGCTAATATCCAGAATCTACAAAGAACTAAAACAGATTTACAAGAAAAAACAAGCAAGCCTATTCAAAAGTGGACGAAGGATATGAACAGATGCTTTACAAAAGAAGACATCTGTGAGGTCAACAAACATATGAAAAAATGCTCACCATCACTGGTCATTAGAGAAATGCAAATCAAAACCATATTCAAATACCATCTCACACCAGTTAAAATGGCAATCATTAAAAAATCTGGAGACAACAGATGCTGGAAAGGATGTGGAGAAATAGGAACACTTTTACACTGTTGGTGGGAGTGCAAATTAGTGCAACCATTCTGGAAGACTGTGTGGTGATTCCTCAAGGACCTAGAAATAGACATACCATTTGACCCAGCAATCCCATTACTGGGTATATACCCAAAGAATTATAAATTGTTCTATTATAAAGACACATGCACACGTATGTTCATTGCAGCACAGTTTACAATAGCAAAGACCTGGAACCAACCCAAATGTCCATCAACGATAGATTGGATAAAGAAAATGTGGCACATATATACCATGGAATACTATGCAGCCATAAAAAACGATGAGTTCGTGTCCTTCATAGTGACATGGATGAATCTGGAAACCATCATTCTCAGCAAACTGACACAAAAACAGAAAATCAAACACTGCATGGTATCACTCATAGGCGGGTGTTGAACAATTAAAACACATGGACACAGGGAGGGGAGCATCATACACTGCAGTCAGTTGGGGGGGCTAGGGGAGGGACAGCGAGGGGGTGGGGAGGGATAACGAGGGGAGAAATACCAGATATAGGTGTTGGGGGAAGGAAGGCAGCAAACCACCTTGCCATGTACGTGCCTATGCAACAATCCTGCATGATCTGCACATGTACCCCAGAACCTAAAGTACAATAAATAAAAAAGACACACCAAATATGTTTCCTATCTAAATGTGATGGGGAAATCTTTCTTTTTCTCCTCCATTCTCAATGAGGATATGGTTGTAAATTCTTATTATCTGGTATTTTTATCAGAACTTTACAAATTATAAACTTATTTGCAACTGTTTTCAGACTATCCCTTCTATCATAATCATGAAACTGGATAAAATTGGCAGCTATTTTTTTCAGTTTTATTCCTTTATTTTTATTTTCAATTTCACAAGAATATAATGTATGTAATCTTTCATTTTAAATCTAAAGTCTTCCTAATTTCTTCATCGTTTCAACAAAAATAAAGGTAACAATTCAATGCAACTGTCCCTTCAACAAGAAGATATTTTACGTATTTTTAAAAAAGATAACAATTTAAAAATACTTGCTATCACAAGAAAATTGTATCTAATAAGCAGAACTAAAGTTTTGGCTAATGCAATAGATTTGGTGGGGGCTGCGTGTGTGTGTGTGTGTGTGTGTGTGTGTTTGTTTTTGTTTTTTGAGACAAGGTCTTGCTCTGTTGCCCAGCCTAGAGTACAGTGGTGTGAGCACAGCTCACTGCAGCCTTGAACTCCTGAGCTGAAATGATCTTCCTGCCTCAGCCTCCCATGCTGCTGGGACCCCAGGCATGCACTACCTCAGCCAGCTAATTTTTAGATTTTTTAATAGAGATGTGGATCTCTCTGTGTTGCCCAGGCTGGTCTCAAACTCCTGGGCTCAAGTGATTCTCCTGCCTCAGCCTCCCAAATTACTGGGATTATAGGCATTAGCCTCTGTGCCTGGCCCCTTTTTAAAAAATTATTATTTTTTATTTTTCAGACTAGGGAAAAGCTGTATAGTAAGAGAAAATTCTAGTTATTTTTAAAAACAGGATTGTAAGAGAAATATGTTAATGTAATTGGGTTTTCTCTTTTTTATAATTTTAAATTTTAGATTCAGGGAGTACATGTGCAGTTTTGGTATATGGGTATATTGTGTGACACTGAGGTTTGGCCTTGGCATATACCCCATCAACAACTGCTGTTTTCCAGGAAATAGTCCTTGAGGAATCCCAAAAGTACTTGGAAAGCTCCCTCTTAATGACCTGCCACCAGCCACAACTGACTCATTCCTGATGGTCCTCTTGATGATCATGATGGCATCATGAGGGGACTGCTCTGTCTCCTCCACAAACTGCTCGGCACCACCACGGAGGATGAAGGTGCATGTTTTGCCCTTGGGAAATGTTTTTGCCAGGAAAAACATTGTACCTCTCGCTTTTAATCTAGGTCTCTTCAAACATGTGGCATCGACCCAGCATACCTGCTGAGAGAGCATCGATCTGCTAAGAGAGCATTCGCACTGGTCTGGATTGAGCCTCCATAGGCCCTCATAGTCCTCTTCAGATTCCCCTCAGGTACTCGGCCAGCAGAGAACATGCTTCTGTCAGAAAAGCACTGGTGGCCATACCCCCAATGCGGAGTTTGGACAAGACAATGTGGGCTCCAGAATAATGGATCCCCTTTAACTTGTCATAGAGAATGTTCCACTCAGCATCAACAATCGCCTGATAATCCTCAACAGTGTGGACTCTTATGTCAGCATTATCTTTCTCAGCTTTCAACTCAAGCTCAACATTCAAAAGGGCAATATCAGGATTATGTATTTCTTGGGGGTTGCATTTCAAACCCAGATACAAGAGAAAGTCTTCTTGAATGCAACACCAGCTACCAACTGAGAATCCTCGAGGGCTCCACCCTGTAGCTTCTTGATTCCAATCATTTTAAACTGCAGCAAATCATTGAGCATCATCACTGCATCCACCACCATCTTAGCAAAGAAAGCTTTCTGCTGTGAGATCAGCTTGGAGCTCAGAGCAGTCCCAGCACACTATTCCAGCAGCTCCCTCTGCTCCATTTTATCTGCCTTCTTCACAGTCACAGCAATCTCTTCAATCTTGTTAACTGCCACCTGGGTGGCTGTGCAGAAACCTCAAATAATGAGCTGAGGGTGTTAACCTTCCTTCACCTATAGTTTCATCTGCTTCAGAAACTCTGCAAGGTCACTGAGGTAGTGCCATCACCAACCTTAGCATCTTGGGATTTGGCAATGTCCACTAAAGTCTTTGCTGCAAGGATGGACAACATCAAGAAGTTTCAGCATTGTGGCCACATCATGAGAAATTGTCACTTTGCCTCTGCCATCCACAATAAGCTTGTCCATGCCATGGACACCCAGGGTGGCTCTTACAGCCTTAGCAATCACCTGGCAGGCACTGATGTTATTTGCAAGCTGGGGGAAGCCTTGGGAGCTATCAGTCCCCTCTTTCAACAGGGTAACAGGCGTGGGCATCATTTTAGCTAATTCAGCGGCCCACTACTCTCCTCTCTTCTCCATGACCGGTCCGCCCAACAACCCACCCATTTTTTGACTTTATTATAATCGACATTCTGGCTGGTATGAGATGGTATCTTATTGTGGTTTTGATTTGCATTTCTCTGATAATTAGTGATGCTGAGAATTTTTTCATGTTTGTTGGCATTTGTATGTCTTCTTTTAAGAAGTGTCTGTTCATGTTCTTTGCTCACTTTTTAATGGGGTTACTTGGTTTTTGCTTGTTGAATTGTTTAAGTTTCTTATAGATTCTGGGTATCAGACCTTTGTTGGCTGCCGAGTTTGCAAATATGTTCTCCCATTCTGTAGGTGTCTGTTTACTCTGTTGATAGTTACTTTTTACCCTGCAGAAGCTCTTTAGTTTAATTAGGTCTCACTTGTCAATTTTTGATTTTGTTGCAATTGCTTTAGAGGACTTGTTAAAAATTCTTTCCCAAGGCCAATGTCCATAATGGTATTTCTGAAAATTTCTTCTAGGATTCTTATAGTTTGAGGTCTTATATTTAGATCTTCAGCCTGGCTAGGTGTGGTGACTCATGCCTATAATCCCAGCACTTTGGGAGGTTGAGGGAGGTGGATCACCTGAGGTCAGGAGTTCGAGACCATCCTGGGCAACATGGTGAAACACCATCTCTACTAAAAATACAAAAATTAGCTGGGTGTGGTGGCAAGCACCTATAGTCCCAGCTAGTTGGGGGGCAGAGGTTGCAGTGAGCTGAGATTGTGGCCACTGCACTTTAGTCTGAGTGACAAGAGCGAGACTCCGTTTCAATGTATAAATAAATAAATAAATCTTCAATCCATCTTAGGTGATTTATGTGTATGGTAAAAGTTGAGGGTCCGGTTTCATTTTTCTGCATATAGATAGCCAGCTATCCCAGCACCATTTATTGAATAGGGAGTACTTTTTCCCATTGCATATTTGTATCAACTTTGTCAAAGATCAGATGGCTGCAGATGTGCAGCTTTATTTCTGGGTTCTGTATTCTGTTCCAGTCATTATCCTAAGCCATTTAATTCAAGAACAGAAAACCAAATACTGCATGTTCTCACTATGTACCAGTACCATGCTGTTTTGGTTACTGTAGTCTTACAGAACGGCTTGAAGTCAGGTGATGTGATGCATCTGCCTTTTTTTTTTTTTTTTTTTTTTTAAGGATTGCTTTGGCTAATGGTGCTGTTTCTGCATTCCATATGAATATTAGACTAGTTTTTTTCTAATTGTGTGAAAAATAACATTGAAAGTATAATAGGAATGGCATTGAATC